TCATATATCATGTGCAGAGTCACGAGAACATTTATATCAAGTACACACACACAGATACACACACACACAAAAAAAAATATATATATATGTATATATATAAACATATACATATATATGTATATATATATATATATATATATATATATATATATATATATATATATATATATATGTATGTATGTATGTATATATACCATATATATACATAAAAGAATACAGACATACATATATATGTATATATATACATATATATGAATATATATATATATATATATATATATATATATATATATATATATATATATATATGTGTGTGTGTGTGTGTGTGTGTGTGTGTGTGTGTGTGTGTGTGTGTGTGTGTGTGTGTGTGTGTGTGTGTGTGTGTGTGTGTGTGTGTGTGTGTAGATGTATATATGTATATATAGATAGAAAGATAGATATACATATATACAGTCATGGGCCGTAGTTGTTGACGCAGTGTCGACTAAACAAAAGGAAACTGGAAAGCCAACGAAAGGTGTTGCACAACACCGAGTCATTGTGGTGTCAATTACGTATTGTATTTCTTATCGCACTGCTCATATTTCATTTATTGTATTTACAATTCATTATATATACACCATTGGTCTCCCATTGGCATGTTGCTCAGAGTAGATGACACACACACACCATTTACAGTCCTGACAGAAGCGTCCGTTGCGGCCAAAGTGATGTGCAGTACATAACGGTAATATAGTCTCATCCTGTGACGAATGAACTAGATATCTTGAAATCATTCAGGTCACGCAGGTCTCTGGTCTGTCCTGCAGCTTTCTCTCTCCGTCCAAGACTTCGTTTAATGTCTCAAACATTTAAGGGCTTTTTTTTATCTAGTTCTTCTCTTCTTCCTGAACGCTAGTGTGGCTGGAAACCTAGTTTTGGGTGACATATCTATTCTGACCAAGAGGCTTCTGCGTTATAGTGAGACTCTGCCCCTTCCAACCTTTTTAGTTGGCTTCAAGATCCTCAAGGCCCATTTTATGCGCAGGATAGGACTTGGGTAAATACGTGGACCTGGAACGATTTGTTATAAAATTCTACCTCAATAAGAGATAAACTTAAACAGGTTGGCGTGAACGTACTTCAGTTGGCCATGCATCGGATTCCGCAAATATGGTAGGTATAAAATTTCGCAAAAAATGAAAATAGTTTCTTCACGCCTGCACTGTCAGGTCTGGCATGATGACACAGGTTTGAAATTTAAACATACCATACCTATTGTCACGTGGTTATCCATTACAATTCTAACTGGCCTTATTAGACCCATCTATCATCACATGCTGATACGATTCTAACGAACGCAGTTGATTTCCCTCGCAATGCCATCCTTTCGAACCGAGTCTGACTTTTGCGTCACTTTTGTGGTGCAATAACGCTGGTGGGATTTTAGTTTTACTACCTCTCTAGTGTTTCCTTATTAGCAAACGGTGGTAGAACTGTCATGAAAAGTTTCTTAAAAAGCCAATAAATGTAAAACGAGATTTTCCAAATTCGCAGTTAGGAGTCATTTCCAAAAACACCGTCTGATAACTTTCATCCTCCTGAGCGTACTTAGAACGACCTTGGGAGACTCTAAATCAGTGATTCATAACCTTGGGGGCGTCAGTAATATTCCGGGGGGCGGGGGGGGGTCGAGCCATTGGGAAAAAAACGGTGATTTCTCTAGTTGTATTTTTTATTCTCTTAACGGAAGCATGGTTAAATAATGAGAAGTCTGATAATAATGTGATTAATTCATACTCAATGAAAACCTAAAAGCACATTTATAATTTTCTTTAAAATCTGTGATTGAATTTTATTCATAGATGTAAGGAGGGCGTGGAAGGAAGGACAAATTACTAACGAGGGCGTGGGAGTAAAAAGGTTAAGAACCACTGTCTTAGATCAATCCAAGTCCATCATCGTGATTGGCGGCGATAGTGGTAAGGGTGATAGAAGAATAGTCTATGGTAGGACGAAATGCGCGTGTATAAAACCAAAGAAATGAATGACTCAGTTTCCGTCGACAGTTTACTAAACTGGTAATTTCTCCCGTGCATTGGCATTTAATTCTTCACTATATTTTAGTAGAAATAGTGTTGGGGTACGACACATCTCGGGACACATTTCAAACATTTCCCCCTTCCCCCATTCCGTGGCACGCACCATTAACAAAGACACCAAACGACGTGTAAATTGGGTAACCCTAAGCTAGCATTTTTAGCATTTTTCACTTCCTAAAGAACCCCGGGAAAATGAATTGGGTCGTTTGTTACTAATTCTCCTGCTCGTTTAGTTTGTTTTGGCTAAAATGCTCAAAGAGAAGAAATTTTCGAAATCCAAGTTAAGGAGAATCGGACATGCTGAATAGTTACTAAGCACTTCTTCAAATGCCACTCGAACTGCATTCCTTCCATTTTTATCGAGATATTCTTTCCGCAAAATCTGAATTCTGTTAGTAATGAACTTGAAAGTGAACCAC